AAGACTGAATCTGCAATAGGCAAGCAGCTTGGTGTGAACAAATCAACTGTGGGAGCAATAATTAGAAAATGGAAGACCTACAAGACCACTGATAATCTCCCTCGATCTGGGGCTCCACGCAAGATCTCACCCCGTGGGGTCAAAATGATCACAAGAACGGTGAGCAAAAATCCCAGGACCACACGGGGGGGACCTAGTGAATGACCTGCAGAGAGCTGGGACCAACGTAACAAAGGCTACCATCAGTAACACACTACGCCGCCAGGGACTCAGATCCTGCAGTGCCAGACGTGGCCCCCTGCTTAAGCCAGTACATGTCCGGGGCCCGTCTGAAGTTTGCTAGAGAGCATTTGGATGATCCAGAAGAGGATTGGGAGAATGTCATATGGTCAGATGAAACCAAAATAGAACTGTTTGGTAGAAACACAACTCGTCGTGTTTGGAGGAGAGAGAATGCTGAGTTGCATCCAAAGAACGCCATACCTACTGTGAAGCATGGGGGTGGCAACATCATGCTTTGGGGCTGTTTCTCTCCGCAAAGGGACCAGGATGACTGATCCATGTACAGGACAAAATGAATGGGGCCATGTATCGTGAGATTTTGAGTGCAAACCTCCTTCCATCAGCAAGGGCATTGAAGATGAAACGTGGCTGGGTCTTCCAACATGACAATGATCCCAAACATACCGCCCGGGCAACGAAGGAGTGGCTTCGTAAGAAGCATTTCAGGGTCCTGGAGTGGCCTAGCCAGTCTCCAGATCTCAACCCCATAGAAAACCTTTGGAGGGAGTTGAAAGTCCGTGTTGCCCAGCGACAGCCCCAAAACATCACTGCTCTAGAGGAGATCTGCATGGAGGAGGAGATCTGCATGGAGGATGGGCCAACATACCAGCAACAGTGAACTTTTCATATTCACCAAATACTTATTTTCCACCATAATTTGCAAATCAATTCTTTCCAGATCAGCCAATGAGATTGTCTGGATTTGTTCTCTCATTTTGTCTCTCATAGTTGAGGTCTCCCTATGATGCCAATTACAGGCCTCTCTCATCTTTGTAAGTGGGAGAACTTGTACCATTGGTGGGGACTAAATACTTTTTTGCCCCACTGTATTTACACTGTATATCTAGCCTTGGATTATTTTGATGCCGTTCCGTATTACATGTGGAATAAATCCTACAGCTGGATGTTCTCTGCAGTCTAATCAGCAGATCTGACTCTACGACTTCTAGGTGAGCATCCTATACAATGGCTCCAGTTTCATCGTCCTCCATCCTTCGTATCTCCCGGTCTCTTCCATGTGTGAAGAACGACTGCAGACTATTTCTGCTCATAAAGTCCGGATTGCTGACCAGTTGTGTCTCATTACATTTTGTGGTTGTGTGCCGGCCTATTCCTCGCTGAATGTGTGTTTGTTCGATGCGTCGTCCTGTGCGGATCGGTGTCATTATTCCTGGTTCACGTCGTTACTTTATGTCCTCCAGAATGCAGCTTTATGGCTCCATGTACAGAGGAGGATAGCCGGTCCCCTGACAGACCGTAACGGCCTCCTTCTGCTCACAGCCAAGATGCTGCGTCTTCTCTCCTCTCATAGATGAAGATAAACGTCAAGGTCAGCCAGACCCAACTTCACCGAATAAAGGTCATTATACCCACACTACTAAAGATGTCCCTTCATGATGGCGGGGGGGGCGGGGGCAGGCCGGGCGGGGGCGGGCCCCCCTGGACCTTTTGCGGTGGGGCAGGGTTGGGGTTTGGCGGTATTGTAAATGCTGAAAAACATATCAGATTTTACTTCAAAGGGTGTATAACACTCCCACCCTCACCCCCCGCCTCCACTCTCCCCCAAACAAAAGAGAGACTCTCTCCCCTCTCCCCATCTCCTCTCCAATGGACTCTCTCCTTCACATGAAGGAAGAGAAGAAATCCTGCCCCTCTCCCTCTCTCTCTCCATCTCTCTCACCCCTCCTCACAGACGCCACCTTCCTCTCCCTCCCACCTCCTTCCTCCCCCCTCACCCTCTCTCTCCCCCCTCCACTCTCTCTCAGCCTCCCCTCCCTCTCTCTCTCTCTCCTCCCCCCTCTCTCTCTCCCTCTCTCTCCATCCTCTCAAACCTCCTCCTCTCCTTCTCCCCCCACTCGAGAAACAGAAGGGATCCCCCCTTTCTCTCTCTCCACCCCCCAAAGGTAAGAGAATCTCTCAAATCCCTCCCCCCTGGACCCCCCCCAAACGAGCCCCCTCTCCTCTCTCTTTCCTGCCCCAGCACCCTGAAAGAGACATCCATCAAACAGAAACGAGAGCGATCCCTCCCTCTCCCTCCATCCCTCTCTTACTATTCCCCCCTCTCTCTTCCTCACTTCCCCTCCCTACGAACGCATCTCTCCCACCTCCGTCCCTCTCTCCCCACCTCCTCTCTCTCCGAGTGTCTTTCTCTCCCATTTCTATCCCCCCTCCCTTTCCCCCCCCGGGCCCTTTCCTCTTTCCTTTCCCCCCTCTACTCTCTCTCCTCTCCCCAACAACCTTTCTCTTTCCCCCAAAAGATCTCCCCCCCTCCCTATTCTCTTTCCCCCTCACTTTCTCTCTCTCCACTCTCTCTCCTCCCCCTCCCCCCCAACTCTCCTCCCCTCACCCCCACTCTCTCCCCCCCCACCGAACTCTCTCCTCCCCCTCCCTCTCTCCCCTCCCCTCTCTCTCTCCCACCTCTCTCTCTCAGAAAAGCGACTCACCTCTCCTCCTCCCCCTCTCCCCCTCCTCTGACCCACGCTCCCCCCTTCTCCTCTCCCCCCTCTCTCTCCCTCTCCACCCACCCCTCTCCCCTCCTCTCTCCCCTCCCCCTCTCTCCCCCCTCTCCCCCCCTCTCCTCTCTCCCTCTCTCTCCCTCTCTCCCCCCCTCTCCCCCTCTCTCTCCCTCTCCCCCTCCCCCCTCCCCCTCCCTCTCTCCCCCTCCCTCCCCCCTCTCTCTCCCCTCCCTCCCTCTCCCTCCCTCTACCCCCTCTCTCTCCCTCTCCACCCCTCCCTCTCTCTCCCCCCTCCCTTCTCTTTCTCTCTCCTTCCCCTCTCTCCCTCTATCCTCCCCCTCTCTCTCCTCCCCCTCCCCCCTCTCTCTCACCCCCCCCCCCCTCTCTCTCATCCCCCCTCTCTCTCTCACCCCCCTCTCTTTCTCCTCTCCCCACTCTCTCTCCCTCCCCCCTCCCCCCTCTCTCTCCCTCCTCTCTCTCCTCTCTCTTTCTCCTTCCCCCCTCTCTCCCTCCCTCTCCCCCCTCTCTCTCCTCCCTCCCTCTTCTCTCTCCTCCCTCCCCTCTCCCCCCCCCTCTCTCTCACTCTCTCCTTCCTCCCTCCTCCTCTCCCCCCCTCTCTCTCCCCCCCTGTCCCTCTCTCTCTCCTTCCCTCTCTCTTGCTCTTCCTTCCTCCTCCACCCCCACTTCCTCTCTCTTCTTCCCGACCCTCTCACCACCCCCACTTTTTTCCTCTCTCTCTCTCTCTCTTCCCATCCCCCCTCCTCACTGGTCTGTTCTCTCTGTCTCCCCTGCTGCTTTATTCAGTATTTCTTTCTTGCTCTTTCCTCGGTGACTCTAATGTGGATCTTTCTTATTACTTTTATTGAAGTATTTTGCTCCTGCAGGAGCTCCGGGTTTTGGTGTCATTTCATGAGCATTGAATGGTCATTGAGCCATTGCCCTGGTGCTGCATTGATGTTGCTGTAAATGGCGGCATGGACTTGTAGCACAGCAGCAGTAAGTGGCCGTCTTCTCTGGGTGTGGTACCAAGTGTACACTTCACGCTTTACCTGCTAACAACTGCCATTTCTCCTGCTTTTCCTTCATCCTCTATTACAGCTCAGCAGCTCCCTAATACCATCCAAGGCTCCATCCTAATCGTAGGACATTTATTGTACCTGGAAGGGTGCTTCATCCGAGCCCTGAACATTCACTGGTAGGATCTGGATTATTAATATCTCCTGAAGGTGCCATATTCACCGGCATCATACACTGCCCACCGCTGGCTCAGCATTTCTGCAACCTGGCGTTCACAAGCAACGGGGAATAAAAGGGTGAATCTGGAGCCAATGTTATGTCTAACGGAGCCGAGTGTCAGTAATGCCTCTCGGAGGACTCCACTCCATCCATCCATCCATCCACCTGGATACGTCACACCGGGTGTCTGCTCTTTAGTATAATTTTATGTGTGTGTGTGTACATATATATGTGTGTGTGTGTTTGTGTATATATATATGTGTGTGTGTGTATATATATATATATATGTGTGTGTGTGTGTGTGTATATATATATATATGTGTGTGTGTGTGTGTGTATATATATATATATGTGTGTGTGTGTGTGTATATATATATATATGTGTGTGTGTGTGTGTGTATATATATATATATATGTGTGTGTGTGTGTGTGTATATATATATATATATGTGTGTGTGTGTATATATATATATGTGTGTGTGTGTATATATATATATGTGTGTGTGTGTATATATATATATATGTGTGTGTGTGTGTGTATATATATATATATGTGTGTGTGTGTGTGTGTATATATATATATGTGTGTGTGTGTGTGTGTGTATGTATATATATAATATATATATATATATACATACACACACACTATGTTACCAAACCCTTTGCAGATATAACAGCTTCAACTCTTCTGGGAAGGCCCCCCACAAGGTTTAGGAGGGTGTCTATGGGAAGGTTGGACCATTCTTCCAGAAGCACATTTGTCAGGTCAGGCACTGATGTCGGGGGAGGAGGCCTGGCTCACAGTCTCCGCTCTAATTCATCCCAAAGGTGTTCTATGGGGTTGAGGTCAGGACTCTGTGCAGGACAGTCAAGTTCCTCCACCCCAAACTGGCTCCTCCATGTCTTTATGGACCTTGCTTTGTGCACTGGTGTGCAGTCATGTTGGAGCGACCCATTCTTTCACCAATGTTTGTAGAAGCAGTCTGCATGCCTAGGGGCTTGATTGTATACACCTGTGTCCATGGAGGGGATTGGAACGCCTGGATCACATGATATGGAGGGGATTGGAACGCCTGGATCACATGATATGGAGGGGATTGGAACGCCTGAATCACATGATATGGAGGGGATTGGAACACCTGAATCACATGATATGGAGGGGATTGGAACACCTGAATCACATGATATGGAGGGGATTGGAACACCTGAATCACATGATTGGAGGGGATTGGAACACCTGGATCACATGATATGGAGGGGATTGGAACGCCTGAATCACATGATATGGAGGGGATTGGAACGCCTGAATCACATGATATGGAGGGGATTTGAACACCTGAATCACATGATATGGAGGGGATTGGAACACCTGAATCACATGATTGGAGGGGATTGAAACACCTGGATCACATGATATGGAGGGGATTGGAACACCTGAATCACATGATATGGAGGGGATTGGAACACCTGAACCACATGATTTGGGAGGCGGGGACAATACTTTTGGCAATATAGTGTGTGTGTATATATATATATATATATATATATACACACTCACATACAGTTAGGTCCATATATATTTAGACACAGGCACGATTTTTTTTGTTTTTTTTTCAGGTATTTTCCAAAACGTATCCCAACTCTGGTTCTATAATGGATCTGGGCGGACAGTGCGCACTCTCAGGTGTAATTGGAGGGGATGTACATCCAGATTGTGGGAGGGGTTTAGGAATTACAGCTCTTAAGATTCGCCATCCCCCTTTTTCAAGGGACCAAAAGTAATTGGACAATTGAATATAATCATAAATAAAATCTTCATTTTTGATGGATATTTTGCTGAGAATCCTTTACTGGCAATGACTGCCTGAAGTCTGGAACCCACGGACGTGACCAAGGACTGGGTTTCCTCCTTTCTGATGCTTTCCCTGAAGTCTGGAACCCATGGACGTGACCAAAGACTGGGTTTTTTCCTTTCTGATGCTTTGCCTGAAGTCTGGAACCCATGGACATGACCAAGGACTGAGTTTCCTCCTTTCTGATGCTTTCCCTGAAGTCTGGAACCCATGGACATGACCAAAGACTGAGTTTCCTCCTTTCTGATGCTTTGCCTGAAGTCTGGAACCCATGGACATGACCAGAGACTGGGTTTCCTCCTTTCTGATGCTTTGCCTGAAGTCTGGAACCCATGGACATGACCAATGACTGGGTTTCCTCCTTCCTGATGCTTTGCCTGAAGTCTGGAACCCATGGACATGACCAACGACTGGGTTTCCTCCTTCCTGATGCTTTGCTTGGCCTGAAGTTTGGAAGCCACATGTCCTTTAAAAATGCTCAGAAAGCACGACAAAAGCACAATAAAAACTCCTATGCATGTGACAGTTCCTCGTTTCTAGTAACCCCCACCACACCTGAAGATTATGGCATTAGGGGTGGGGAGGGCGTCAGAGGATGGAAGATTTCTACGTAAACCACATCTTCACCCTCCAAATTAAAGGTCCACCCCTCCTTTGGTCTGCTTCTGTGTAGAAGCTTTTTTGTTTGCCCCGGGGCTGCACTGAAATGAAAATTCTGGACTGGAACTGAAAATTCAGGATAAACACAGGAAGTCTTGGCATGTATGGGTAGCCATAAGCGGCCTGATGCTCAGTGATAGTCGGTCCTTATAAAAAGAGACGAAGGGGGTCACTGCCGGTTCTAGAGAAGAAGGGGGTCACTGCCGGTTCCAGAGAAGAAGGGGGTCACGGCCGGTTCCAGAGATGAAGGGGGTCACTGCCGTTTCTATAGAAGAACGGGGTCACAGCTGGTTCCATAGAAGAAGGGGGGTCATGGCTGGTTCCAGAGAAGAAGGGGTCACGGCCGGTTCCGGAGACGAAGGGAGTCACGGCCGGTTCCTGAGAAGAAGGGGGTCACACCCGGTTCCAGAGAAGAAGGGGGTCGCGGCTGGTTCTAGAGAATAAGGGGGTCACGGCCAGTTCCGGAGAAGAATGGGGTCACGGCCGGTTCCGAGAAAGAAGAGGGGTCACGACCGGTTCTGGAGAAGGAGGTCACGTCCAGTCCCAGAGAAGAAGGGGGTCATGGCCAGTTCAGAGAAGAAGAGGGTCACGGCTGGCTGGTTCCAGAGAAGAAGGGGGTCACGTCTGGTTCTAGAGAATAAGGGGGTCACAGGCAGTTCCGGAGAATAAGGGGATCACGGCCGGTTCCGGAGACGGGGGTCACATCCGTTTCCAGAGAAGAAGGGGGTCACGTTCGGTTCCGGAGAAGAAGGGGGTCACGGCCGGATCCGGAGAAAAAGGGGGTCACGGCTGGTTCCAGAGAAGAAGCGGGTCACAGCCGTTTCTATAGAAGAACGGGGTCACAGCCGGTTCCGGAGAAGATGGGGCTCACAGCTGGTTCCAGAGAAGAAGGGGGTCATAGCCGGTTCCGGAGACGAAGGGAGGCACAGCTGGTTCCGGAGACGAAGGGGGTCACAGCCGATTCCAGAGACGAAGGGGGTCTTGGCCGGTTTCAGAGAAGAAGAGGTGACCCCAGTGACCGGCCAGTTCCGGAGAAGAAGGGGGTCACGGCCGGTTCCAGAGATGAAGGGGGTCACGTCCATTTCCAGAGAAGAAGGGGGGTCACGTCCATTTCCAGAGAAGAAGGGGGTCACGTCCATTTCCGGAGAAGAAGGGGGTCGCGTCCGGTTCCGGAGAAGAAGGGGGTCGCGGCCGGTTCCGGAGAAGAAGGGGGTTGCGGTCAGTTCCGGAGAAGAAGGGGGTTGCGGCCGGTTCCGGAGAAAAAGAAGGTCACGTCCCAGAGAAGAAGGGGTCAAGGCGGTCCTGGAGACGAAGGGGGTGACAGCCGGTCCCGGAGACTAAGGGGTCACAGATGGTCCCGGAGAAGAAGGGGGTCACGTCCCGTCCCAGAGAAGAAGGGGGTCACGGCCGGTTCCGGAGAAGAAGGGGGTCACGGCCGTTTCCAGAGAAGAAGGGGTCATGGCCGGTTCTGGAGATGGAGGTCACATCCAGTCCCAGAGAAGAAGGGGGTCCATGGCCGGTTCTGGAGATGGAGGTCACGTCCATTTCCAGAGAAGAAGGGAGTCATGTCCATTTCCGGAGAAAAAGGGGGTCGCGGCCGGTTCCGGAGAAGAAGGGGGTCGCGTCCGGTTCCGGAGAAGAAGGGGGTCGCGTCCGGTTCCGGAGAAGAAGGGGGTCGCGTCCGGTTCCGGAGAAGAAGGGGGTCGCGTCCGGTTCCGGAGAAAGAAGGGGTCGCGTCCGGTTCCGGAGAAGAAGGGGGTCGCGTCTGGTTCCGGAGAAGAAGGGGGTCGCGTCCGGTTCCGGAGAAGAAGGGGGTTCGCGTCCGGTTCCGGAGAAGAAGGGGGTCGCGTCCGGTTCCGGAGAAGAAGGGGTTCGCGTCCGGTTCCGGAGAAGAAGGGGTTCGCGTCCGGTTTCCGGAGAAGAAGGGGGTCGCGGCCGGTTCCGGAGAAGAAGGGGGTTGCGGCCGGTTCCGGAGAAAAAGAAGGTCACGTCCCAGAGAAGAAGGGGGTCAAGGCGGTCCTGGAGAAAGAAAGAAGGTGACGGCCAGAAACGCAGGATAGAAGTCATTGAAGTGTGACAGAACACATCTCGGGGCGGATCGCTGCATTTCTGATTGTGGATTGTAGGAGGGAGAAATGTTGGATCTTTCCCAATATGTTTCCAGTTATGGAGGGCAGAATGAGATGAGGCTTTTGTTGTGATCTCTGCAATTTCCTGTGCAGATGATGTGACCCGTCGCTGAGAGGACCTTTGTTATAATATGAAATGAATGGAATTATGGATTTGATGTGGCAGATAACACAGCACAACTCCCTCCTCCGGGACCGGCACCATCATTATTATTGGTGGAATTGTTTTCCATGCAGCCGGCTCATTTCATTGGTTTCATAAATTCATTTTCCCAAAGTAACAACTCCGTTAAAAAAACCAAATCAGTCGGCAGCCTGCTAGTGTTACCTGGAGCAAGTGCTGCCGCTGTGATGGAGAATTCTCTGAAGCCTGTGCCTGTGAACAGACGCCAACACGGCCAACAGCCAGAGACCAATGTCAACCTGTACTTTTAAAGCTCTCAAAAGGGGACGTTTGGAATATATATTTTCTTGGGGGGGGGGGGCAGGTATCTAGCTTTTGTAGGTATGCAGACTTTGTCCGCTTCTGCTGGAATCACTAGGCCTTGATAACCCCGGCTGAAGCTTTTCTTTATGAAGTATATTATATTTACGTGTTTTACACTTTTGTTTTTTCTTCTTCTTCCTGGTTTCTGGCCTAGGCCAAAATGATGTCATACACCCCAGGAGTTCTTCATGGGAGGAGGGGAGGTGGGCTTTCTCAGCTAAGCACACCCTCCTGCCTGCATGCCTGATCTAAGGGCAGATGGATTCCAGTTAGTAAATGCTACATGAATCATCTTTTTTACTCAAGATGGCCCCGGCTAGAATGCTAGGGGGGGTGTTTTACAATGACTGCGTTTCTCAGCAAAATAAAGCATGAAGACATGGATGGATGGTTTTGGAGATGGATGGGACATAGCATGGGGGGGGAGGGAGTGGATGGATGGTTTTGGGATGGATGGAGACATGGATAGATGGGGGGAGTGGATGGAGACTTGGTTGGGAGGGATGGGGGGGAGCGGGATGGATGGAGACATGGATAGATTGGGGGAGTGGATGGATGGGGGGAGTGGATGGAGACATAGTGCTGGGGGAGAGTGGATGGATGGAGACTCCATGGATAGATTGGGGGGTGGATGGATGGGGGGAGTGGATGGATGGAGACATGGATAGATGGGGGGAGTGGATGGAGACATAGATGGGGGGAGAGTGGATGGATGGGGGGATGTGGATGGATGGAGACATGGATGGATGGGGGGGTCGTGGATGGATGGAGACATGGATGGAGGGGGGGTGGATGGAGACATGGATGGGTGGAGTATGGATGGATGGGGGCAGACTGGATGGAGAACCACACTGGATGGAAGGGGGGAGTGGATGGATGGTTTGGGGATGGATGGAGACATGGATGGATGGGGGGAGGGAGTGGATGGAGACATGGATGGATGGGGGCAGAGTGAAATGGATGAGACATGGATGGATGGGGGGAGAGTGGATGGATGGTTTGGTGGGGATGGATGGAGACATGGATGGATGGGGGGGGGGGGAGTGGATGGAGACATGGATGGGTGGGGAGTATGGATGGATGGGGGGAGTGGGATGGGGTGGGGGGGAGGATGGGGGAGTGGATGGATGGGGGGAGCGGATGGAGACATGGATGGGGGAGAGTGGTATGGGATTGGGGGGAGGAGGGTGGATGGATGGAGACATGGATGGATGGGGGGAGTGTATGGATGGTTTGGGGATGGAGGAGGGATGGATGGGGGGGGGGAGTGGATGGGAGACTTAGTTGGATGGATGGAGGGAAGGACGGGGGGGGGGGAGTGGATGGAGACATGGATGGGGGAGAGTGGATGGGGGGATTGGATGGAGACATGGATGGATGGGGGGGTGATGGAATGAAGACATGGATGGGGGGGTGGATGGATGGGGGGAGTGGATGGGTGGTTTGGGGATGGATGGAGACATAGATGGATGGGGGGAGCGGATGGAGACATGGATGGGGGAGAGTGGATGGATGGGGGGAGTGAATGGATGGAGACATGCATGGATGGGGGGAGTGTATGGATGGTTTGGGGATGGATGGAGGGATGGATGGGGGGGGAGTGGCATGGAGACTTAGTTGGATGGATGGAGACACAGAAGGACGGGGGGGGGAGTGGATGGAGACATGGATGGGGGAGAGTGGATGGAGGGAGACATGGATGGATGGGGGGAGTTGAATGGATGGAGACATGGATGGATGGGGGAGTGTATGGATGGTTTGGGGATGGATGGGGGGGGGATGGATGGAGACTTGGTTGGATGGATGGAGACACAGATGGACGGGGGGGAGTGGATGGATGACATGGATGGGGGAGAGTGGATGGATGGAGGACATGGATGGATGGGGGTGGATGGATGAAGACATGGATGGGGGGGATGGATGGGGGAGTGGAGGGATGGAGACATGGATGGATGGGGGAGTGGAGGGATGGAGACATGGATGGATGGGGGGGAGTGGATGGATGGATGAAGGAGTTTGGTTTGAATAATGAAAATGAATTATCCAGCATTTCAGTCTGTGGTGCTCACATCCAGTTCAGTTCCTCTGTAAGAGCCGAGTCACACCTCCACGGCACAGGAAGACGCTCCATGCGATTCAGTGGTGTGCGATTTTCATTGAATTCATTTGAATGGGCTAAATTCGCACTGGATCACGCCAAAAGTAACACATGCACCACTTTTCAAAAACTGCACAGCACCAGATTGTATTTGTAATCTGCATTTAAGGTGTCATCGGGATTATACTGACCCCCGCAGCAGATTGCACACCCAGTGTGGGAAATGTTTACAGAATGTGGGTTTCCCGCACCACCTTCCAGTGTGAGCAAGCCCTAAGTGAACTTTGTTACCTGCATGGACCCGGTTTTATTTATTTATATATATTATTACCGGTACTTATATAGTGCCGTCAGTTTACACAGCGCTTTACATATATGTATTGTACATATACATCAGTCTCTAACCCTCAAGGGGCGTGTGTGCGTATATATGGTGGAGGACAGTGGAGGGATTGGCAGAGAGGGATGGAGGTCAGTGAAGGAATTGGCAGAGAGGGGTGGAGGACACTCAGTGGAGGGATTGGCAGAGAGGGATGGAGGCCAGTGGAGGGATTGGCAGAGAGGGGTGGAGGACACTGAATGGAGGTCAGTGGAGGATTGGCAGAGAGGGGTGGAGGACACTGAATGGAGGCCAGTGGAGGGATTGGTAGAGAGAGGTGGAGGACACTGAATGGAGGCCAGTGGAGGGATTGGTAGAGAGAGGTGGAGGACACTGAATGGAGGCCAGTGGAGGGATTGGTAGAGAGAGGTGGAGGACACTGAATGGAGGCCAGTGGAGGGATTGGCAGAGAGGGTGGAGGACACTGAATGGAGGTCAGTGGAGGGATTGGCAGAGAGAGGGTGGAGGACACTGAATGGAGGTCAGTGGAGGGATTGGCAGAGAGGGGTGAGGACACTGAATGGAGGCCAGTGGAGGGATTGGCAGAGAGGGGTGGAGGACACTGAATGGAGGTCAGTGGAGGGATTGGCAAGAGAGGGTGGAGGGACACTGAATGGAGGTCAGTGGAGGGATTGGCAGAGAAGGGTGGAGGACACTGAATGGAGGTCAGTGGAGGGATTGGCAGAGAGGGTGGAGGACACTGAATGGAGGTCAGTGGAGGGATTGGCAGAGAAGGGTGGAGGACACTGAATGGAGGTCAGTGGAGGGATTGGCAGAGAAGGGTGGAGGACACTGAATGGAGGTCAGTGGAGGGATTGGCAGAGAGGGGTGGAGGACACTGAATGGAGGCCAGTGGAGGGATTGGCAGAGAGGGGTGGAGGACACTGAGCAGCTGGTAAGATAGATGAGTCTGGTAGCATTGATGATATACTGGAGGGGGATGAGCTTATGGAGGGAGTCAAAATGAGAGATAACAATGGCTTGAATAAGGGGCAAATTGTACTGATGTTACGGAGGTGAAGCTTTTGATCATCTATTATACACGGCTCAAAAAAATGAAAGGAAGACTTTGTAATCAGAGTCTAGCATTAAGTCGATGAAACTCCTGGAATATTGATCTGGTCAGGTAAGTAGCAGAGGGGGATGTTAATCAGTTTTAGCTGCTTTGGTGTTAATGAAATGAACAACAGGTGCACTAGATGGGCAATAATGAGATGACCCCCAAAACAGGAATGGTTTTACAGGTGGAGGCCACTGACATTTTTTTCCTTCTCATCTTTTCTGACTGTTTTTCACTCGTTTTGCATTTGGCTCGGGTCAGTGTCACTACTGGTAGCATGAGGCCATACCTGGACCCTACAGAGGTTGTACAGGCAGTCCAACTCCTCCAGGATGGCACATCAAAACCTGCCATTGCCAGAAGGTTTGCTGTGTCTCCCAGCACAGTCTCAAGAGCATGGAGGAGATTCCGGGAGACAGGCAGTTCTCTAGGAGGGCTGGACAGGGCCGTAGAAGGTCCTTAACCCATCAGCAGGACTGGTATCTGCTCCTTTGTGCAAGGAGGACCAGGATGAGCCCTGCCAGAGCCCTACAAAATGACCTCCAGCAGGCCACTGGTGTGAATGTCTCTGAACAATCAGAAACAAACTTCATGAGGGAGGCCTGAGGGCCCGACGTCCTCTAGTGGGCCCTGTGCTCACTGCCCGGCACCATAGAGCTGGATTGGCATTTGCCATTGAACCCCAGAATTGGCAGGTCCCACCACTGGCACCGCTGAGAGCAGGTTTTTCACAGATGAGAACATTCTGCAGCCTGTTCCCCCTGAGCACATGTGACAGACGTGAAAGGGTCTGGATGCAGAAGCCGTGGAGAACATTCCTCTGCTGCCTGTAACATGGTTCAACATGGGTCCGTTCTGGTGGTGGGTCAGTGATGGTCTGGGGAGGCATATCCATGGAGGGACCTGCACAGACCTCTTACAGGTGCGGTGACAATGGCCCCCTGGGTCTGCCATTAGGTATGGGGATGAAATTCCTTGGATGGTCCTTGTCAGACCCTATCCCTCCTGGTGCGGTGGGTCCCTCCTGGTGGGTTCCTGGGTCTCCCTGATGCGGTGGGTCCTGGGTTCCTCCTGGTGCGGTGGGTCCTGGGTTCCTCCTGGTGCGGTGGGTCCTGGGTTCCTGGTGCGGTGGGTCCTGGGTTCCTCCTGGTGCGGTGGGTCCTGGGTTCCTCCTGGTGCGGTGGGTCCTGGGTTCCTCCTGGTGCGGTGGGTCCCTGGGTCCTGGGTTCTCCTGGTGCGGTGGGTCCTGGGTTCCTCCTGGTGCGGTGGGTCCTGGGTCCCTCCTGGTGCGGTGGGTCCTGGGTCCTCTCCTGGTGCGGTGGGTCCTGGGTCCCTCCTGGTGCAGTGGGTCCTGGGGTCCTGGGTTCCTCCTGGTGCAGTGGGTCCTGGGTCCCTCCTGGTGCAGTGGGTCCTGGGTCCCTCCTGGTGCAGTGGTCCTGGGTCAGTGGGTCCTGGGTTTCTCTCTGGTGCACGTCAATGCCCGGCCTCATGTGGGGAGAGTATGCAGTCAGTTCCTGGAGGATGAAGGAATTGATACCATTGAATGGCCCCCACGCTCCCCTGACCTAAATCCAATAGAACACCTCTGGGATGTCATGTTGCGGTCCATCCGACGCCGCCAGGTTGCACCTCAGACTGTCCAGGAGCTCAGTGACACCCTGGTCCAGATCTGGGAGGAAATCCCCCAGGACACCACCTGTGGTCTCATTAGGAGCCTCCCCCGACGTTGTCAGGCATGCATACAAGCACGTGGGGGCCACACAAACTACTGAGGACCATTCTGAGTTGCTGCATAGAATTTTCAGCAACATGGACTCGCCTGCTGCATCATTTCTTCACTTTGATTTTTGGGGTGTCTGTGAATTCAGTCCTCTGTAGGTCGATCATTTCCATCCAATGATGGGGTGTCCTTACGTTCCTCACCCATCCCCCGCCATGCCAGTATAGAGATCCAGCAGGAGATTCCTCCCCATTGAGATCTGATGGGTTTTCAAAGTCTTCCTTTCATTTTTGTGAGCCGTGTATATGTTCTCACCTTCAGTCTGTAAACTCTTTAGACCCGCATCACATAATACATGTTTTTCCTTCACAGGCACCCCATCCTGCCCCCCCCCTGTACATACAAGTACTATGGACAAGTGCCGCAGTCGACCTCGCAGACCGGACAAGGCCTTATATGTGCCCAAAGCCAGGCGAAGTATGGATGAGCCGTCCAGCGGAGGAGACAAAACGTCTGAACACCTACCGGCTTCTATTTCCAAATCTCCTATCCAGAGGAGACACAAGAACATCAAAGCTGACTCCATTTCTCAGGTCCATGAACACGGGAAACAGCGGACTTGTAAAAGTGTAAAATCCCCCGATCCAAAGAGAAACACTCAGCACAAGAATGACAGGGAGCCGGTCTGCATGGAAACACAGAGAGTGGAGACAATAATTCCTTGTGTGGCGGAGTTGGTAAATTAGTCCTCAATGAGGAGACTTTGTCAGGGGGCTCAGTACAGAACTTTCTGTCTGAATCTCTCCTCCTTCCCTCTGCCAAAGCCTCCCCATCAAAGGAAGAGGAACAGTTTGATGTCCATAGCAGACCTGCCAGCCATAGTCTAGAACAGCATGAAAATACAACACAAAGGTCAGCAGAAAGAACATTGCAGCCAGACAGGATGACGGTTACAGCAGAAGATCAGGGCACATGTCATTCTAGAGAGGCATCTCCGTCAGATGAAAGTCTAGACAATCCCAAGCTGTCCAAACATATAGACGTGCCATCAAGCACCATAGACCAGGTAACGGGGTGCTCCGTGTCTCCATGTCCTCAGGGAATGACGGATTTACCGACGAGGAGCATTCTTCATAGCGGTGAACCCAAAACGCACAATAGAAACAACACGACCAAAAAACAGAAAGCTGTTTTATTCCACGGCACAGACTGCACAGAAGTCATTACTACAAGTGGAATGGCTATGGAGCCGCCTGGACAGCTTACTGTCTGCACAAGCGATGCAGATAATGCGGCTCATGTCATCCTCTATAAAAAGCCAGAAAGTATTGCTGGAGGAAAATTAGATTCCACTTGTGCAATAGCGGAGAATGTCTCAGAGCTTGCAGAGAGGGATAGCAGTGCCATTCCGTGTGCCATTGAGCTCAGCATCAGAGCTGCAGGTGAACACATCGCCCATTCTAAAGCATGCTTGTCTGAGAGTGACGGAGGTGGAGTAGATGGCATTTATAAATCTGAATTGTCTGGACACTGTAATACAGAACACATTAGAATAGAGAATCACAGAGAATATGCTGGAAAAGGTGAGGCTGAGAATGGCCCTAGGTGGTTTTTTCCCATGCAGATACACAGCAGGAATTCAGGGTATACAGAACTGGAAGCAGTGGGGAACTCATTGACAATCCTGGATTAGAGAAACCATTTGTAGAGGTTCTACCAGCTATGGCCAGCATGGAGCCAAATCTGTGTGCGACCAGTGCTGGACAATTACCAGATGGGGCAAACATGGAGGAAGAAGTACCTTCAAGGACTAAACCCTTTTTGGATACTGAGCAAATGCCCCCAGCAGTGGTAGAACAGGTTTCTCCTATAGAGAACATGGAACTGGTGGTAAGTTCTACAACTGTTGGCTCTGCGGAATTATCAGAGCAGGTGACCTTCGAGGAGCATGTGCCATCGGCCAGCGAAGACATTGAGGAAGATGGACACGAGCGAGCTCAGAATGTAGAGTCATGGCCTGATGGGGGCTGTACAAACTCGAGGGAACTCTTGAAAAATTCTGGTGGTCCGAAAGAAGACTCTTCAGCTGGAACTGACTGTGAACTGCAGAGGAGTAAATATGCCCCAAAGGGCAACTCTATAAGAAGTCTAACTATGAAAATGTCAGAGAAGCGAACTACGTCTGCTGCAGCTAACCATGAGGAGGAGGAGAGCTGGGACTCCCTTTTCAATGATGATGGGGACTGTGTTGATCCTCGACTTCTGGAAGAGGTAATGCTTTGTTGGGATTTCAGCCTTGATTTTTATAGCCTTCCAGTCTGGGATGGTGTGGGATTCTCTAAAATAAAATTGCGAACAATCAAGTTTTCCTTAGATTTGCTGCCCCGGTATACCTGTACTGATTGCACAGCCGTTCGGTGGGCACCTTAATGGGGAGTTTTGGCAAGTTATAGAACATACAGTTTTGGCAAATCTGAAGTAATGTATGTATTCTGATCTTTGAAACAAAAAGGCCGCAAAAGCCTAGAGCAGGGGTGGGCAACTGTGGCCCTCCAGCTGTTGTAGAACTACAAGTCCCATGAGGCATTGCAAAACTGACAGTTACAAGCATGACTCCCAAAGGCAGAGGCATGATGGGACTTGTAGTTCACCAACAGCTGAAGGGCCACAGTTGCCCACCCCTGGCCTAGAGCATTATCGACAGCACTTCACTGAACGATAAAAAGAGTACATACTCACTAAAGCCCACATGTAACCGTGTTGTACGTAAACAGACTGAAGGGTCTTACGATGCAAGTCTTCTGGTTCAAAGAACAGCTGACGTGTTTCGGGGGACATGCCCCCTTCTTCAGAGCACACTATATATTTTTATACAATATAAGAGTTACAGTGCCTTTAAAAAAGTATTCCTCCCCTTGAAATGTCCCCCATGTTGTCACGTTACAACCAAAAACGTCAAAGTATTTTATTGGGATTTGATGTGATGGACTGACACAAAGTGGCACATAATTGCGACGTGGAAAGAAAATGAGAAATGGTTTTCAACATTTTGTACAAATAAATCTGTGAAAAGTTAGGGGTGCATTTGTATTCAGCCCCATTTACTCTGATACCCCTAACTAAAATCTAGTGGGACCAATTGCCTTCAGAAGTCACCTAATTAGTACATAGAGTCCCCCTGTGTGTCATGTGATCTCAGTATAAATCCAGCTGTTCTATGAAGCCCTCAGAGAACATTAGTGAACAAACAGCATCCTGAAAGCCAAGGAACACACAAGACAGGTCAGGGATAAAGTTGTGGAGAAGTTTAAAGCAGGGTCAGGGTATAAAAAAAATCCATATATCCAGAGAACAAACAGTGTTGTG